GACTTGTACATTGGCTGGCCACCGAAATTCATTGTATGGGCCGCATACGCACTCAGTACGCCACTACGATTCTGAATGGAAGTCGAGTGCGGGGGCGCATCCCTCAGAATTGATTAAAGCCAAAAATTTTATCCTTTATCCTTTATTCGCAGGGAAGTAAGATATATTTGGACGGATGCTCGCCAAAATAATAAAGCTTCGCCTTACAAGATTGGCTATTACAAGTGAAGAATAGCCCTAAAAATTGTACTACATTTTTTTCACACTACCGTCTCTCATCGAACCAATTCTGCTATGATCAACTGTGTTCGTTTCCCATTAAAATTTCCAATACAATACTGCAGTACAACGGGAGGCTCGACAGTATCTCAGCCATTTCGATCAAAGTGTTAGCAGAAAGGCATGAGCATTTACCTTTAACACAAAAGAATCCATTCCTCAGTCGGGGCCCTAAGGTCAGAGAGAGATATGGGCATAAGCATTTTCCGTCTCTACTTGTGGACCAAAATGGGCAGGCACGATCCGCTGACTATCGCTGGTCGAAGGAGAATGTCCAGAATATCAGGAAAGCACTAAAGAATACTTGAAAAAATGAAAGACAATGTGAAGCAAACAACACTGTTATACCAAAAAGCATGCAAGCAGCAAAGCTCTGTTCGTTCGATCATCACTACAAATCGACTAACCTCTGCTCTGGAATTTGAGCTCTGGACCTCTAAGTGTACTTTAGTATACGCTACATCTAGTGAATACTATAAGCATATGTGTATAAGTAGGAAACTCTTTATTGTTGCTGTGAATTTGATAGTTTCAGCTCTTTGACCATATCTTAGAGCTACTCCTCAGCCGTTGGTTAATTGGTACCAAGCTTCTAACTTTAGTCCGTACACATCGTTTTTATGAAAGCACTTCATTACCGTAGTAATCATCACAAACTACGATACTATTTCTGTCTGTAATAATTATAGTTATATTTTTAGTTGATAAACAAGAAGTTGGTTTTCAAAAGCGGGGAGCTTGAGGGCAATTAGCCGACAACTTTACCTTTCGCGAAAATGGAAATCTATTTTTCATCTGTATCGGACCTCCGCGCTTCCATAGACACCTCCATGATTTTCAGAAGAACTCGATAGAGAGAATGGGAATTATCGGCGTCATACGACTGGAAAATTTCTTCTTCTACGGTAGAGGATCACATGAGGCTTAGCAACAGAAGCAATTCAAGGCTCGAAGAAGCTCCCTTGTCATACAACTATACGTACATGTATTATAATGTCTTCATTCTACGCTTTTTCTATTGCACTCATCTATCCAGCAACTTTCGATGGTGAGAAAAGCGTGAAGTTCAGTTGGTCGTGGGACCTCGTGACAAAGCAGGAAAGCTTAATTGATGGAGAACTTAAGATCAAACAACAGATGTAGTATTGCGGTTTGCAATATGGAGAAGAAAGATTGTAGTACCTCATTAACTAAAACAGCCTACAACTACACAAAACTTCTTCTTCTTTCTTACTATGTAGGCTATCCCGATGTAAAGTTGAGCTAACGTTTTAGGTTCCTACATGCCATCGTGTAATTCTACGGCTATTCTTCCAACCAATTTCGAGATGTAACAAAAGTCACCAATCCGACGACGATTGTTGGAATACCTTGCTTGTGTAGCTCCTCTTTCTTTCTTTTAACCTGGGGATATTAGTGTGGGAAGGTTACATTTCTAGTAAGGCTAGCTCAAGCCCTCCATTTTGTGATTCTCGTTGCAGGACCGGCCGCTAATGGGCCAGT